GAGGGTTAGTTGAGTTCCACTTGCACTTTCGACGAGTCAATTGAGTTCTAATTGCACTGTGGACGAGTCAGTTTAGTTCTACTTGCACTGTGGACGAGTCAGTTTAGTTGTACTTGTATTGTGGGCGAGTCAGTTCAGTTCTACTTGTATTGTGGGCGAGTCAGTTCAGTTCTACTTGTACTGTGGGCGAGTCAGTTCAGTTCTACTTACTGTGGATGAGTCAGTTAAGTTCTGCTTGTACTGTGGACGAGTCAGTTGAGTTCTACTTGTACTGTGGAAGAATTAGTTGAGTTCTACTTGTACTGTGGACGAGTCAGTCGAGCTACACTTGAATTGTGGACCAGTAAGTTCAGTTCGACTTAGACTTTGGAAGAAAACGCATTTGCTATCCCATTGACCGTGGATTCGTTATTGAACCTAAAGTCATTAGCATCTCGAGCATCTAATCGCCACTAATCGTATTTGTACCAATAAATATCATCCATATTGCATAACAACAATGGCTAATCCAAATGAAGATTCATTACACGTCCCTAACCCTAATGAGAACTCGACATATATATAACAAGATTTTTTTTAAGAATTATACAAATAATAAATAAAGACCTTTCACCCTTTTAATTACTCACACACTTTCATGAACCGTTGCCTCAAACGCAAAGAAGAGATGGCAAAAACAACGCAATTATCAATAGGTGACGTCGCTCATCGACGACAGCCGTGTTTCGCGAAATTATGCACTGCGTTCTCCACTGGCGACAGCCGTGTTTAAAGGGTTAAATTACGTAGCTACAAGAATGCAGAGAAATGCGCATACTAATTACGAGCTACCCTATGCATGGCAAGTCTAGCACAAACTAGTAGAAAGGTATCAAGGCAAGCACGAAGCCGTCGTCGAAGAATCTACGTGCGCGCGACAAGTCCTATTAAGCGTAGGCGGATTGGATTCGTCGTCGATTAGTGGGCAGCAGGAAATGCGACAGCCGCGGAGAGAAAAGGGGGAACGGCGGTGAGGAAAGGGGAGGATGAAACATGAAATTGCAACTGAATGGAATGGTAATGAAACGGAGGTGATTCCGTGTGATAGGAGCAGGACAGGGCACGGTTGGTTCGTAGGAGAATGGCCGACACGGAGGCACGGGTCATGCAGCCACCTGATAACGCGACAGTATGTAACTGTATGTGCATAATGGCAGCGACTACGGCGATGCATTATTACGTGGCTCTATACCAGAATCGGACAAAAGCAGTGGAAATGATCCGCAAACTTTTTACATCCTGTTTGCCAATATCTGTTCCGCGTTTGCGTACGTTCGCTACGAACTGACGTTTGGATTTTCATTCTCCGGTGCACTTGTTTGTTTGTTTTTTATCTCGACATTTATGATACTTACGATGGCTCACGATAGTATTGGAACGCTTCCCACGGAAGATTTGTACGGACATATTATCTCTGTTGTACGAACATTTTTTACACTTTGTTGGTATTGCAACGAGGAACTGCTGTCGTGTTTATAATTGGAAAATTTGAAAGTAATTCGGAGATGTGTATAAAAGTTACGAAACACTCGTACGTAGCACGAATAGTAGTCTTAAACGTGCAATTAACGGTAAGACTGATCTCTATTTATGAGTTTATTTTAGAATGATCGTGTTAACGATAAAGTCGTTAGTGACCACCGCAATATTAGGTTGCTCCAAAAGCTTCTTCCGTCTTGTAAGGAAAATATAATGAAAATAAATAAACGACGGAAGATAAAGACCACAACATTTGACAGATTAGGTTTCATGTTTGTATCAACTTTGTGTCAGATAAAACAGCTGTGTGCAGATAACGAAAGACACCTTTCGGACATCTTAAAGTACATAGCTTAGAATTACGTGCTTGCAAAATTGAATAATACCCAATTACCCGGAAGAGAGTAGAGCTTTATCTGTCTAAGAAATTCCACAGTACCAGAAATGCTTTGAGAAGCGTTCAGATGAGACTTAGACGCGAGCAAGTCAAATACCTGGGAACTTGCAATTACCAAACGTCCATTTCGTGAATCTTCGATCATTTTTTTCAAAAACAAAACCTTAACACTTTGACTACCACGTTGAAATCACATGTTTCGCTCAGGACACCACAGTGTTTTAACACAGTGCACCGTTAGATGCAAGATTTGTCCTCACTTTTTTTTTATCGATGTTCTAATAAAAATGTTTAATTGTTCAATGGGGCACTTTTTACTTCAGAGTATCTTCTATTTATCGGTTATATTCAAAATGCCCTAACTGTCAATTTTCATACAATTTTTACAATTGTAAGAAGTTGAAGCGCTCCGGTCACCAATGACCACCGTGGCGTCACAGGAGAAACCGTGGCCGGTTTGACCAACGTGGCAGTCAAAATGTTAAACGAGAAAATATTCGCTTGGACCATGCTATATATCGCAATATAAAATAATATAAATAAAACTGGAAATTATCCAAAGATTTTGGATACGGTCTTCTGTTCTGGTTGTGCATAAGATTTGCATGCTGCCGCTTGGATGTTCATTCTCGGGGCAACTTGTTTGTTTTTTATCTTGACATTCGTGTTACTTAGGTATATTTGTTTGCTATACATTGTCAATATTTTTGCTGGTAATATACATAGTATAATCCAAATGATCAGTATGCGCGCAGTGACAATATTTGTATGGCACGCCAAATACACACACGTTCTATTTAACCGAATATCGTTGCTCATAAAATTCAACCCAATAAACTTAGATCATCCATTGTTTTATCGTAATTGAAAATAATTATTGGTACATTTTCGGTTCGGGTGTAAAAGAATTTATGACTCGCAGCTGGTTCCTACTTTTCGTTTATTCGCAAATAATTCTACTCTATTTCCTTGTGATTTAAACGGTACACGCTGAAAAGTATTTCTTGTTACGTCAGAATGAAAATCAACCTCTGCCTGTTCGTGCCACGTGATTGATATGATGGAAAATCTATTCTTAACGATATTCCTTAATTTTGCCTGCATCGTTACAAATTATAACACGCGAAATGTTTTCGATGCTATGTGACCCGAAATGAAAATTACACGTCGACAAATATTATTAAAATACAGGTAGTTTTTAAATATCAAATACCATTAAAATATAGACAGTTCTTAAATATTTCATTTTAATATCCAATATATTTTAATACTTTCCACACTTTTCCTAAAAAACGTATCCGAGCATTTGATTTTCGCAAAATATCATATCGTTTGCGTTTGCGCACTCTTCTCTGACAATGTTATCGAAGCTACACCGTCGAAAATTGTTTAGTTCGTAAAATGTATCTTATCTGAACCATCCTAAAAGAATTTTAGTAACGTGAATCATCGATAGATTCGATAGCAATAAATGCGTGTAAAATATTACGGGACACGCTTGAACATTTTCTAAAGACGTTGGAAATTCGAATAACGTGTACACGAAAACCTATTAAAAGGCGTTTTTAATTTCACTTCTGCAAAGAATGGCCATTATATTTTTTGCACGTTACAACTTACGAAAATGAAACACGTCTCTCCGGTTGTTGGTGGAGAGAAGCCGACAGCACACAGGAAAGGCAAGCATCGTGCATGATTATTTGAGCGGTGAATTCGCACGTGTAACAGACGAGCGACGCGTGCGCGTATTGTTTCAAGTATCGTAACGAGAAAAAATAGCCGCGGGGCCGAATTCGAATTCCGCGTGTGGTTTATACTCGTGCACGTGAGAAGAAGGTGGTATGAAGGGAGCAGATTAATTAAACTGTGGAGTTTTAGTGCTCCCGCGAAGAATTACAACGAAGGACGTAACTGCGGGATGTTTACCTCGCGTAAAACTACGCCTGAAGTATTAAAAACGTTGTAGAACACAGTTTTAGTCTCTTTTAAGCGCAACCATAAAAACGATTCTACAATATCTTTTTGACAACGTTCCTTCAGCGTAGAACAGTCAGTAACATATTGTTATCTGACAATTGACACAATTACTGAAAAGTAAAATTATATCAATTTTTGGCATAACATTGTTTTTAAAGACGATTCTGAAGCATTTGCGTAACATCGTTTTTTAGATTAAGATAATTGATAACATATCGTTCACTGACAATCGACTGGCAATTATTAAAGTATAAAATTATATCGATTGTTATTACCACATTGTTTATCGTATTGGATATTGGCTGTATTTAAACGAAGTTTAAGCAAATAATGAGAATTTATCAAATTCTTTCACGTCTTTTATTTAACTTTGAAAAATATACTTTCGCAAATTTGTACGACCGATAAAGCTTTCATTTGTCGCAGTAAATGGAAATCTATTTCAAAATACGCGCTATTCCTTTTATACTAGATAATAATCTTTTGTCATTAGGGGCGTCCATTATATCGCTCGTTATAACCAGTTTTTCATCGCAGAGTCGTAATTTCTACGGAGGATTGTGATAACGTTAGGAATAATTAAACGAAGCAAGCAGTATAAATTACTACTAACAATGCTTTTGTAAAACCTTAATCACACATATAGTAATAACATGTATGAGAAAAATTAATGGAAGAATAACGAGAGAAATTGAAAGATACCAGAAACACGCATATCTGCGTATTTAACGTCAGAACATAAGAAACGTAAATATATCTTTCGAATAATGATTTTTCCAAGAGTTAGATCGATGGGCATTTTTATCCGAAAGTTTTTCAATTGCTTGGTTGGCTAGAACCGACTTACGAATGCCAGCCTGCAACGTGGCAATAGAAAATTTCATATTGCTTCATCAGACAACGCACGAAATATTGAAACGATTCTAAGAAAAGCGGGATAGTTGTTTCATACGCAAAGAACGCTTCCATGGGACGAACATGAATCGATAGACGTATCGAGCGGCGTGCCAAAATCGATGCAAAGAGAGCGGATTAGCATAAACCTTGGACGAGGTACGTCGATGTAGTAGTTTGGCGAGTACTGGCACTTCTAGCCATTTTGGTTGAGAATTTCGTGCAAATTCCACCCGGTCGATACTCAGCGTTGATAAGAATTTTTGCTTCGACTCGTGTCGATTTCGACAGCGCGAAAAGATTTCAAGATTCATCGGGCCGCGTTGTTCGCGCACGTGCTTCGACCGGAGACAAAGAATTAAGTCCGCTGTTGACGCGAAGACACGCGTCGAATACAATGACAAGACAGCCCAGGCGGAATAACTTAGCATCTGTTACGCGTTTAGAAATTCTCTTCTGACCAGCGGCGTGACTTATGCCTATCGATTGTTTCGATACACTCGCCGAGTATTAATGGATCCAACATCGCGTGACAATTTATTTGACAATTTTTACGGTCACGATGGACTGGCTTTTGCATTATATAATACCTTGGTATCGTGTATCTACAGTATCAACGATTACGTAAGACAAAGATTGTGTTTTCACGGTTGAAGGGACACGAAAATTCGATTGGAAATTTCTATTCCTTCGAAATGTATTGGCCGGACCCTCTTGCCCAATCGAACTAATTGCAAGTTGTGTAAGCGGAACAAGATAAAATGACGTATATTTTACGAGTAAATCTTCAAAATTACAAGTCATCCGATTAACCAATTTGGAAATTTGAATAACTGTAAACTTGTCAAATTATGAAAAAGAAGTCTATCATTTGTTACTCGTCGTTTTACTAACATTGTCAATTAGTAAATTATTATGGCAGTGAGCTGGCGGAGGAAATGTAATGTAGCGTTCCTTTTAGAATAAGAAACAACTAATTGATTAATGTGGAACTTTTTAAAGAACAAATGGCTTCCTCCAACATTTTCATTTTCTTCGGAACAAATGAGTTTCTTTATTTAGTATTTTTATTTGCCGCGGCAAGATAGCAGAAGAAATTGAAAATTCCAAGATAAATGTAGAAAAAGTAATGCTTGTAACATCGTCAGTTTCTTCTATTTGCTCAATGTAGAAAGATGATCTTAGTAACTCAGAAATGCAAGAAGAAATGAATCTACAGAACACGGGATCGCTATGTAAAAGTCTCGGATGAAAATTCGAACGATTATATCCGTTTTCTCAATACAAAGTTAAGATAAATGTATTTAGACACCGTTAAATTCATTCGTGTTTTCAACAGTTTGGAACGGAGTAGATTATAATCAGAAAATATTTATAAAGCTTAAATCATTCTTTATCATTTGATAATTCATTTTACGACCATGTATTAGCAATATCTAACAACCTGTGTTTTATATCGCGTTTTATATCGCGTAATGTGTGTAAAATACATTACTCGCTCAAGATCATTAATAAAATATAAATGACATCGTATGTGCTTCTTTCGCTATTGTAGTATAATAGATTTTTAATACGCGCTCTCGTTGCAACTAATGTATTTTAATTGAAAAACACACGCTGGATTTATGTTTGCCCACTTAAAAAAAAAAAAAAAAAGAAGCGATAAAACGAAGAAAATTAATGGGGAAGAAGAACTAAATTGACAAAGTATACGGTTAAATGATACAACGTTGTCTTTAAGGCTACTTGATTTGCAGCGTAGAATAATCAAGAAGGTTGTAAGAAAAACGATTCGAGTCTACGAACTAGTGCAACGAGTCTGCACGCGCTAGACCGTGTTAAACTCTATTAGAATCGTAACAAATCTTGCTTATATGGTTATGCACAGGTTATGCAGTTATGTTTCCTTTCTCGTGCACATTGCCTTTTTCGGCTTTCGTTCAACTATTAAATAACATCCTCTGCTCTCGACGTTTCGCGATTCGTCCCTTTCCTGTTCTGCCGAACTACTTTCGTTGATTAAAACGAAAAAACGATTTTTCATGTTATGACACATTTTGTTTGTGAGAATTGCAACTGTACAACTATCGAATCGCAATAATTATTACGTTCGAAATATAATAATCTCCGTTCTATCAAAGTATTATTATTATACAGGGTGGTTGGTAACTGGCGGTACAAGCGGAAAGGGGGTGATTCTACGCGAAAAAAGAAGTGGAAAATGTAGAATAAAAATTTTTCGTTTGAGACTTTGTTTTCGAGAAAATCGACTTTGAATTTTGGCTCGGTACGCGTGCACTTTATCACGTCTCGTTATAACGGATCTCACTGTAGATTAAAAAAAAAAATTTTTATTCTATATTTTCGACTTCTTTTTTCGCGTAGAATCACTCCCTTTCTGCTTGTACCACCAGTTACCAACCACCCTGTATATAACAGCAACAGCAACAACAATAATAATAATAATATGACGCAGCTTTATTTTGCAGAACGCTTTAACTTTGACGCAGGATCCTCGGTGAATTCGTTGGAAAATTGCCTCTTACAAAACGCGACGCCATAGCAGATGGATGAACAAGGGAAGAAAGAAAAGTGAAAGTGGTGCAACTTAAAAAAAAAAGAAAGAAAAAAAGGGCGGAAGGAAAGTAAAGTCTCTGTGTCAATTCGGTATACGCGGTGAACTCAAACTCGTTCTCTTAAAAACGGGTTAAAAACAGGTAATGTCCACTTTGTAGCGAAACTAACCGCGGATCAAGATAGTGAATATTTGATTAATCGTTTCTTTTCGAGGTGTCTAATTAAGGTGTAGACTACGTTTTCTAAAAGATACAGATCGATTGGTCGAACGTTATTCCTTTTCTAATACAATGAAATATTAAAGCTTCGTTTCCCGAGTAAAACTATTTTGAGACGTTCCTTTTGTTTTCCTTCTGTACTCCTCAACGTGTTGATTTATTAAAAGCATTACTATACAGAAGAGCTTAGATATTTATTCTTCGATCACGTTAAAGCTTTTCCACTTGTCGAAACGGTCGAGCAATTTTCAATTATATTTATTAGATTCTCTGGAATGTTTCTTTCGTTTTAGAAGGAATCAATAGATGCGAAACATTTTTATATTATATTCTATTAATATACTATAAAAATACTAAAATATACTATACTATAAATACTATAATATACTATAAAAAAAGTAATGGATGAAAATAATATAAAACAAAAAATATTGTGCATCTATTGTTTCCTTGTGGAACGAAAGAAACTTTTCGGGCAACCTAATACTTGTCTTTTGAGGTCGTTCGTAAATCGTAAATCTACTAAGAAGATTCTCGCAATTCTTCCATCATTCGCATTTTCTAGCTTTCCTTTTACTTTCTTCTAACGCTGGCCGCAACACGTTTCCGATTTTAATGTCATTAACGCGCACGATGTTACCTTCACGCTGAAATAATCGGAGAAATGCGAAATTCTATAAAGAACATTTAGTTGTAAAGGGCGCAAGCGACAAAATATTATTCGGTTAATAGAAGATTCGGATAATAGATGCTCGCATACCGGAGGCTCCACCGCGCCAAGCAAATGTTCGTTAACGATCAAGAGAAAAGCTGGAAAATGTCGCGGCATTGTCGAATTTCTGGCGCAGCTGGCGTCTACCTGTTTATGCCAGGAGAACAGAGGAGAGCGGTGTTTGCTCTGCAACCACTCTACGTTTGATTCATTCCACGTGTGTCTGCGAAATTAACAATCTCGACAGACCGCTACCGGCAGTTTACAACGAAATCTCTATACGCGGCAGATTTATCACAGGCGAGACCTTTCTGTAAAACGTGCTTGAACGAATAACAACTGAACGTATCTGAAATAGTTGTGTGGTACTGTATATCGTCACGTAACTTATCCCCGATGTGTGTGTAAAGGAAACTGCATGCACGTAAATCCACATCAAAAATAGCGATCAGCTCTATCGCGTCCAGGCTGTGTTATTTTATACGTTTCGAAAATAATAAATGTTAAATTTAGAAGGACGAAACATATTTTTATATACTACGGCGTGATGGTTTTTTAAACAACAATTAAGATCACCGTTACTGGCCAAACAGCATTTGTCATTCAATGGGAAATAACTCATTGTCGAAAAGCTATTTTTATTATTTTCTAGATTTTTCGTTACCGATAACCTATTTACGTTGACATATTGCGACATCCTATAAATAACGCGGTCATTAGTTTCCGCATTTTCGCATGAAACTAAACAATCGCCTCCTGGCGATCGATCAGTGATGAATTTCCTCGTATCTTTTATAATTCCACGTCCTTTTCCGTCAAGTTCTCTATCGAAATTTTTTTAGACTGCCACAGTGACAAAACCCTATCGTTTTGAACTTAACTGCGAGGAAAACCGCATTTATACGATAACACGATATTTCTATTAAAAGCGAAAAAAATCAAGCTAAATGTCGAGTCTAGTTACACGTAAAACTGCAACAAGTTAATATTCACAAATTTCGAATATTTTTGCGATGTTTGCTGTCACAAACGAATATAGAAAACTATGTATAAATAGAAAAATATATTCATTTTTAATATCAATACGTTGATCGTCGATGTTACAAAGAAAAGCACACTATATTTTTTGATATACGCGTCATATCTGGTTTAAATCAACTATCAACTAAATGAACAAACAAATACGTAAAACAAAACCCTATTGCTATTTTATTTTTGTTTTATTAATTCGCAATGTTTTCTTTCGCACGTCGTGTCCGAATATTAATATCAGTCACTGTTCCTGTCGTATATTTTAAACGACAAAGTCGGATCGATTCTGAATTCCAAACCGCGTTCATTCCATTGCGAGCGACGTTAACGGCATTTTAGATCATAAGCTGGTGATTTGTCTCGCTCACTCTCACAATCAGCGTCTTGATTGATTATCCTTGTCGCATAATAAGCGATAAGGGAATACGGAAACATCATCTGCAATGGGTAAAGTGCGAGCAAACAAAGAATTGAGAAATCTTGCAGTTCGCAGTATCTGCTGTGAATCAGTAACGAGAAACTGTGTATTCCTGTTACTGTATTTCCATAACAGTTTCCTGTCTTTTTCTCAAATCTTCTCCTTTTATCTTCTTATCCTATCCTCTCCTCTTGCCTTATTATTTTCAAGATTTCCTTAATGCAGTTCTCCTATCCTCAACGATATGCAGATAATAAAAAATATACAGC